CATCATCATCATCATCATCATCATCATCATCATCATCATCATCATCATCATCATAATTTCCTACACTTTTGTCCTGGCCTTGACATCTAAATATTTATCAAAATACTATTTTTTTTCTTGTTATCCAACAAAACTGCATGCTTAGCACTATAATGTCATGTTGAGTAGCTCTGAAATAGTCACAGCACAGGTTTGAATAAGGTATTTTAGGTCATCCTTTCACCAGATCATCTGCTATCACTGACTTCTCCCTTTGGTTTTCCTCAACTTTGGACAGTAAGTCATAAATCATCATCATATATTCATTTATCCATCAGGGGCACTTACAGAAAGCGCTGCCTTTTAAATATTTCTTTCACCTTTCAAATACTTCTGAAATGCTCAAAGAATTCCTGCACATCCCTTGCACACCATCCATTCAGACACACCCATCAGTTAACACTTTGAGTTGTACAGAGCACAAAGGACAAGACTGTAAAAATTCCTTGGGATCTATTTACCTACAACTATGTTTTAAGCTACTGTTCTCCACTTGAAACACTCCATTCCTGACCTGAAACAGAGCAAAACCATCTAATCTAAGCCACCAGTGCATTTTCTTAAATCTAATCAAAGAGTAAACCCTTAGAAACTGAACTATACTATATATGCCCACTACTTAAAGCAGTTATACATTAAATGGAACCTTTTGCAAAATTTCTTGCAAAAAATTTATTTCACAAAACTTTTCAATTGATATCTAAGAATTCCAGGGAAAAGCAGAATTCTCTAGATTCTGCTAATCTCCAGGGATTAGCACCCCTGTGGGACAACTAACTGGTGTAAGACTCTTGTTTGCCTTATACATCAAAGGAAATGTTTACAAATACAGGATCATGCAATTAATTGAACTGCCTTCAAAGCTGTGAATAAAATGAAATACATGGAACCACACTGAAAGAAGAGTAAATAGGAACAGCAAGGTATTCAAAATATTCAGCTTTGAACCTGAAAGGTGCTTCCCAAATTATCTCATCTTCTAAATAGAAGCTGCACCCAGATACTACTCAAACAGTATCTGGCAAGTTCCATTCTTATAAAGTTCCTGTGCAGAGCAGAGCCATAAATTAGGGCACGCAGAAAGATGTCTTACAAAAGGCTTTCACTAGTGGTTTAACATTTTGGTATCTCCAGAGACTGCTTTGCAAAAGCTTTCTGATTCATCTTCCTTTTAAGGACAAATAAAGATTTACTTTCTGCTTCAAAACATGCTTTGTCAGTATTGGCATTCTCCTTTAAATTACATTCAGGGAAGTTGCAGAAGGACCAACATTCTAGTATGGGACAGGGAATGGTGTTTAATTTCAGCATGTCATGAGCGCCTAGGTGCCTTTTATCATCAAAGTCACCACCAACACCTTCTTATCTATGGTACTCTGTTTATTTCTACTTACATATTATTACAAAAACAACCAACAAACAAACCCACGAAGTTAGCTGTCTGGCCACTGATATATTACCACTATGCTACAGTGAAAAGTATGAAATACTACTTTGGTAGCATTTTTTCACCACTTATCACCAAAACAAAGACAGGCATTTTTTGACTTTGTTTTAAAAAGGGACTACTGTGTTTTAAACATAAAACCCCCTTAGTGCTCAAGGTAATAACACAACACAGACAAGCAAAGGGATATTTCACCCACAACATTCTAAAATACCATTTTCTAAAGGAGACGTATTCCTAACAAATCACATATACCAACCATCATGTCTTACCACCTAATTTAGCTTTAAATCACAATCCTTAAAATTTCAAATAGCACTCCACCTTAACACTTAGAAGATACATTTAGTTAATGACTAGTTAATAAATATTAGTTAATAGAATTTAGTTAATAATTACTTTGGAGTTTGAGGAAGGCCTTTTCCTCTAACATCTTATACAGACTCCTACAGTAGGAGTGTGTTACACTGAATGATTTTAAGGAGATATTTTTACTCTGGAGAAAAAGAATCACTACTTTTCTAGAATAATTACTTGTAAAGATGCTGTTAAAAAAAAAAAGGCAGGACAGATCACAAAGCTGGTTCTCCTTAGAAACAAGACACAAAGCAGTTTTTGGAGAAGTCATTCTTTCAGAATTTTAAAAATCTCTTGTTTAAAAACAGATAATTAACAAAAAATAGCAATATTCCTGCATATTTCCAGAAAGAGTAGATTTCTCAAAGATTTTATGGAGAACATACAGCTCTCTCATCTCCTTTCTCTCACTGTCACTGTCACCATCTCTCTTCTCTTTGCTGCCTTTATGATCATGAAAAGAGAAGCTTGTTTAACGAAAAGCAGGAGTTCTACAGGCTGATTCAGGTTTTTCACTGTTCCCTAAAAAGACAACTGCTCTCTCAGAAACCACTGTAAAAGTCCTCTAGAAAATAACACACTGGATGATGCTGTTAGAAATACAGGGATGCTGGCCAACCATGCATTAGCAAAAATTGCACGGCAACCTGTTGCTCTCAGGAAGTGCTGCACCACCAAATGTAAATACATTCCACTAAAAGCATATTGGCAGCTACAGAGTTTTATCAATAATATTTTTGCTCCTATCAACATAGAAATTACACCAATGCTTAGGTAGAAAAAAATGTTTTAGACCAAACCAAAAACTTTCCTCGACTGGGAATAGTATCAAGCCAAGAGCAGAAAGAAGTCACTAGTCTAGTCCTGCTAATGCCAAAATATGTATGGCAGGAATCAAAAGGATCAAGAATTATCCTCCAAAACATATCTGATACTGAGTGTTACTCAGTGGGAATGAGCTCTATTTGTGTGCTTACTGAGTGTTAAGGAGAGAACCATTAACCCCTTGCAAACTCTGCCAGAAGCAGGGCACAGCACAGATACCACCTGGTGACAGGTTCCCTATGCAACCCCCCCTCAGTCCACAAACTGGAAGTGCCCTCAGAGGACCTGATGGGTTGACATCACTGTCAAACAGGACTGGGTCTCCAGATTTCCAACACAAGAAAGAGAGATCTCCCTGTCTCCAGCCTTCTAATCCTCTTGCAGGACCCACAGCCCTGCTGAGATCCTAACCATGGAAAGCTGCTGAGCAACTATTCACCTGCAGAAATAATTAGAAAATAAGCCATGAACTGTCCTGTACAGCTCTGTGTTACATAACCAAGGAGAACTGAGATGTAGTGTAAGATTCTTTGAGGACCTTTGATATAAACTTCTGGTAAGTCTCACCTTGTTTTTTACATGGTCTGAAACATGTGAAGAAGAAGTAATTCCCACTAATCAGGAAAAAAAAGCCCACCCCACTAGTTTCAGATGGTCACAGTTTTGGTTCATTTCCTTCTCAGTCTGAACTTCATATATTTAACTCCATTCCAAAGGAGAAAGGTTTCACATTATTGTTAAAAAACATACAGATTTCAAATCAGTCATTATTATAAAAAAAAAAAAAATCACTAAAGCCATGAAACTTGCATCTAAACTTAAGTCATTCATTAGAGTAGTTTTAAAAACCTATAAAATCTCCTATTTCCAAAAATAGGACCTGCACCGCCACAAAAGGACTGCACCTTGCTAGTTAGTGTTCCCCACTTTCATGCCAATTACTTCTTGTCAAAGTCTGGAAGCTGAGGTCAAACATGTGACATCTTCAAAAAACAAGGACAATTCCCTGAGCCCGTTACTGGCATAAAGGCATCCGCTCCTCCCCTAGCACTCTCCACTCTCCCAGCTGTCAGAAGATGATTTTCTGCCTCTTACTTCAATGTTTCTATTTTTTTTCTCCACTGTTAACTACATAAAACTGAACAACTCAGCCCTTGAGTGCACATTTTTTGTTGTTTTGTTTTGTTGTTTTTTTTTTTTACCCCATGCCAGAATGCACTAGAGTCAACAACAGGCTGACAAGGATAACAATAACTTTCTCTCTTTAACTGAAGTTCAGGGATGATCCCTTCATTTTTTCTTTGCATTAACACACGTGAACTAGAGTAATTGGTCTCCCAGAAAGGATTAACCTAGAAAAAGGTGCAGCTGAGTTTGCAGTCAGATCAAAATGGACTGCCTACTGAAGAAAAACCCCAGTGATCATGGGATGAGCCTACCCCAGCTCCTGGGCCTGTGTCCACTGGAGCTCCTCAGCAGTTCTGGATTTCTCTACCATGAGGAGCCACAATATATGCTGCACCAAGGCATCAAAGGATGAGCTACTCAGTTTGCACAGGTGAATCCTCAGCTCTAGAGCTTTTAAGAAGTTTTTCACGGGTCTTTATGGGTAAGAGAGGTGAATTTTAGATAATTTACCTTTCTGAGTGGTACACAGTTTTCTGACGGATATTGGAAACAGGCAAGTCACAGAGAAATGGGGGGGGAAATGGCTAAATTATGCTATGATTTAAAATTATAAGGTACCTCAACATAAAACTAAAGCCTAAACTTGTTTGAAATAATTAAACATTATAGTAATACTCATTAATGTCAAAGAACTGCAGACCTTAGGTATGATTTCTAAGTTTGCCCATGAAATTCATGGCTAATAATGGAAGAAACTGCTGCAAATGTTATCGACAAAACCTTATTGCTTTCAAGGGGACACTTACTTGTTACACAGATCACTATAATCTGAATTTAAAAAATAATTTAAAAAATTAATAGTATAAGACATGAAATGGACTGTAACTCATTTAACTTCCAGGCCATTCAAGGGCTCAGTTTTCTTCACATCTGAAATTTTTATTTGAAAATAAGAGGATTTATCAGGACAGAAATAAATTGTCATTCATCACTACTACACAGCTAAAAATCTTCAGACAGTCCTAAATGTTAAAAAGAAATGCTTTTCCTTCTAAATTTAAGTGTATGGTCTGTACTTAAAGGTACAAATATAAAAGGAAAAATTGATTTGTTGCCATGATTTCTACTTTAACTATTCTGTCAATTACCCAGTGCAAATAAAGGTGACAAAATTACCCACATCTCTGTAACCTCATTCTGCTTTACACAAGAGAAATCAAGATACTGACTCACTATGATGGAGCACAAAACCCTGCAAGTGCTCCAGTGGAACTGGGCTGAGCTGCAGATGCATAAGGCCATAACATTAAGCAACAATAAAATAAACTTGATTTAATTGGTATGTCTAGCATAATACTGTCATCCATGTATATAATAAACAATGATAATGGGACAGCTGCATAATCAAGATGAACCAAAGTATGCCTTGTGTTCCAATTAAGCAGCTTTTACTGTAAAAATGGATTAAAGCTGTGGTTTAATATACACAGTGTCATTTTTAAACAACCTATTCTCGTAATACACGAAGTTATGTAATGTAGACATACTCACTGAGCAAAGAACTTGCTTTTCCTAAAACAAGCCTAAACAATAGCTCCAGTATATTTTTAACGGCTCAAAATGCTGAAATAATATTGAAAATAATAAATACTTAAAAGCACGAGAAAATTTGATTTAAATGTAGTATGATTTTTTCTTCAAATTATTTAACTTCTAAATAACTTTAGTTTCTAAAAGTTTTACAAATTCTCCAAAACCAAATAACATGAATGCGTTGAAAAAATATTTTAGAGCTTATTAACATTCCCCAATTATAACCATTTCAGAGAATTTAAGAACATAAACAACCATAATCCCTCAGGATTTCAGTAACATTTTAAAGGTAGGATTCATCTTATCTTAACAGAAATCTACAATTTAGAAGGCTACAGCTGCCTAGACTTCCTTTATTATCAATGGGCAGAAACAGAGATTTCGAACATTAAAAATATGCCAAGTTATTTGTACATCTAATGTGTGGTGATGTTCAGTCGTGACCCAGAACCATTTGTTTCCCTTCGCAGACTACACAGAGTGTTCAGATGACTTGATCAGATGCACACATGCACTGTGGACAGCTAACTTCAGTGAGATGAGTTGCTGCACCCACAGGCAGCTAAAGCTGAGACCTTCAAAAAACTATTTAAGTGTCTAACTAACAGGAAAAATTCTACAAGGCTGAAACCACCACCTTTTAAAAGAAGTTTGTAATTCTAGATCTTTTGAATATTTCTGGAAAAAAAAAAAAAAGCTTTCTAGAAGAAACTCAAAAAATCATGGAAAAAAGTTTGAAAGAATAACTTTGTGAACATATAAACATTTTCAATGCACAAACAAAATAGCAGACAGGTGCAAAAGTAAAACAGGAGGAATGTCAAGTATGCTCAAAATTATATGAGCATAAAACAATCAGTTCAGCCCCTCAAAGTTTCTGTGCATCACTCTTCAACGACATCATTCAAAAACACTAATATAAGCCTGAGTTTTCTGGAAGTTTAAAATTGTGTATATGTTCTCCCTAGAAGCTGAGAGTTCTTCCCTTTGCACCCTTTTTTCTCCTCCAACAGGCTTTTTTTATGTGTCACTTACAACAACATCTAATTGATCTGGCACACACTACCATTACCATGTATCTCTTTACTATTTTGACTACCAAAGACATGAAAGTATTTTCAGAAAAGGGAATTTATTCTATAAAACCCACTGTTCAGAAATTAAAGTCTAACTCAGTGGTACAAATTTATCTATTCTTATGTCAGCACAGATTTCGTCCCCTACCAAAACAAAATTGTGATCATTTAATCAGCTGAGTGTAAATCCACTCTGTTTGGGAATTGAGGATATACTTTTCATTGCAGCTTTAAGAGACAGACCACGAAACTCAGACCCTTACTCTTTTACAAAGTTTCGTATTTGGTAGTAATAATCACATAAAGTATAAATTTACAGTTGGCATTTTGGACTGTGGAAAACAATCACAGCCTTTATATAATGCTAAGTTACAACAAGAAAGCAGCCATATCTCCCCAAGATTTTCTTATTACAAAGACTGCATTAGCTTTTCAATGTAGAATTTCACAGCAGAGTTCAAAAAAAAAGACAATTATCAAGAGTTTGGAGGATTATACAGAGGCTAGTGACTAAAATATCACCATTTTTCTTTTCAGTTTCACACTTTCAGCCTTTACCTGAACAGGTTGGTTTCCCTAAGTTTTTAAAAGACCAGTATCTTTCAGTGAACAAGCTTCATTCAAGTATGCTTCCAGAAAGCATCCATTGTACTTAGAAAACCTTGTTCTTGGGTTTCTGACAGAAATTTAATATTGGCAGAATGAAAGATGAGATTGTTCAAAAGAAAGGAAATGTTTGTACTAGAAAACAAGGAAAAGGTTCTAGGAATCTAGCACTCTAAAAAGCATACAGTATAAAATAAAGAATGAAGCCTTATATATACTACAGATACTAACATAACCACAGCCCCATTTGAATATGTAGTGCGTAAATAAGAATTTATGAAGCACTAGAGATTGCAAAAGATAGTGAACCACTGAAGGCACTTGCCAAGCATTTGTAGCCAAGTCCATAGACAAGTACTTTTTACACTTTAATTCAGCTCAATTAATAGTCTATTCAAATTGAAGAAATGTCTGAGTCACAAAGATGGTCAGAGGGCTAGAGTACCTCTCCTATGAAGACAGGCTGAGAGTATTGGGGTTGTTCAGCCTAGAGAAGAGAAGGCTCCGGGGAGACCTTATAGCAGCCTTCCAGTACCTAAAGGGAGCCTACAGGAAAACTGGAGAGGGACCTCTTACAAGAGCATGTAGTGACAGGAAAAGGGGGAATGGCTTTAAATTGAAAGAGGGTAGATTTATATTAGACATTAGGAAGAAATTCTTTACTCTGAGGGTGGTGAGATACTGGAAAGTGTTGCCCAGAGAAGTTGAGGACGCCTGTCCTAGTTTCAGCTGGGACATTTTTTCTTAATAGCTGGTATAATGGTGTGTCTTTTGGATTTATTATGAGAATAATGTTGATAACACCCTGATGTTTTGGCTGTTGCTATGGACTGTTTACCCTAAGTCATGAACTTCTTAGTGCCTCATGCTCTGCTAGTGAGGAGCTGCACTGTAAGTGTTCAAGGCCAGGCTGGATGGGGCTTTGAGCAGCCCAGTCTAGTGCAAGGTATACCTGCCCATGGCAGGGGGGTTTGGAACCAAATGATCTCCAAGGTCCTTTCAACCTAGGGTATTCAGTGGTAAGACAAAATTAATCATTGCTTTCTTCCATCAGCCACTGAGAAAAATGCAAGAGACAACACACTATGATTTCTCAGTTTCTAAGGATGGGGTGATCAGACACAATCATTTGAATTCACTGACATTAGAAATATTCAGTTTCAGGTAAAAATACTGGCAACTTCGATAACTCTTTACTATTCTGTCATACTTGCATATTTATGCAACCTTTTCTAAACAAGCAGAGCACTAACACCACTAATTGAATCCCAGAATCTATCCCATACACAACAATACAGTGTTCTTACTTGTGATTTGAGTGAAATGAACACAAAAAAAACCTCAGACCTGTAACACATCAAAAACCTAGGAATCTGAATAAATATTGAGAGAAGAGACTCATAGCTGATATTCTTCATTATTAATAACCAAGGCAGTGCAATTTCCATGGGAAGGCTTCCATTTCCTTCCAAATAAACCAAATAAACTCAGCCTTTCCTCAGGAAACTGCTCCTCAAATACCTGAGGCTTGCCACGCGAGGCCTTCCGCCTGGAGAGCCAGGCAACTGTCCCAGGGGAACCGGGAGTGCCAGGGGGCTGTACTAGGGGAACCAGGAGTGGCAGGGGGCTGTACTAGGGGAACCAGGAGTGGCAGGGGGCTGTACTAGGGGAACCAGGAGTACCAGGGGGTGTTCCAGGCAGCCCCTGGACCCGCACCCCTGGGCGTGGGGTTTACACACGGGGGATGTCCCCAAAGGCCAGAGGCACTCAATGACACCGCGGGGTGGGGGCATCTCCTCATGCTGCTGCCTCCATCCCGGTGCCTCCTGTCACCCTCCCTCACCGCCTCCCCGGGCAGCCCCGAGAGCCTCGGGCCCGACCCACCTGCCGCGGCCCCCAGCGCCATGGCGGGGGCAGCGCCTGCTGGCCCGGGCAGTGGGACGCGAGCTCACCGCCCCTGCTGGGATCTGGCATCAGGCACAGCGCCAGCCCCGAGGCGCTGTGGTGCGAGCTCCTCGGTGCGGGCCCTCTGCGTCCCACTCGTGTTGATCTCGGCCACACACGGGTGTTTCGTTGCGGGTGTTGGAAGAGCTTATGGCCTGGGCCTCGCCTCCCGCTCCAAGGCCTCCTCAGTCGGGAATGTGCAGGGAGGAGGAAGCCAGGGAGCGCCGCAGGAGACATGTGAAGGCCCCTTGTGCCGCCAGAGAAGGAGGGGCTGCAGTCGCGGGCAGGCTTTGGGCAGTGTGGCCTGGAACACTTTTTACTGCTGTAAATTGCATGCAGGTCTCTCGAAGCGTTTTTGTGGATCAATACAGGTCTCTTTAAACTTTCTGTATGTTTGGATATCTTAAGAGGAAATGAGATCGTAAAACTTCAGAACGGTATTTCTCTAACAGCGCATTGGAAATAGAAGCTGCCTTTTAGCTGAAACACTGTGATCAAAGCTCACAAGTTAAGAAATTAGCTTTGTGTGTAAAATTATATTCTCTACACAAGCGATGCTGAAAAGGCTGTGTTAAGGCTCCTTGGCCAGAAACAGAGTCTATAGAGTCATAGAACCAGAGAATGATTTCAGCTGAAAAAGACCTTTAGGGTCATTGAGTTCAACCATTAACCCAGCACTGCCAAGTCCACCACTAAACCATGTGCCTAAGTGACACATCTACAGTCTTTTAAATACCTCCAGGAGTGGTGACTCCACCACTTCCCTGGGCAGCCTGTTTTAATGCTTGACAGCTGTAAGAAATTTTTACTAGTGCTGAGGAGGCTAACGTTGAGGAGGCTGAGTAAATTAACATTAGTTAATTTAGTACTGTTGAGGAGGCTGAGGAAGGAAGACAGGAGGTAAGAAAGTAATGAAGCAAGATGCATTAGGTGCAGTTAGTCTCATCACAGTATGTCAAGATTTTAAGTAGAGGGGGATCGATCTTTCTAAACACAGAAGTATTCAGATGTGATAAACAATACGTACTTTTAAAATTCTTACCCCCATTTCTTGTTCTTGGATAATCTCAACAACTTTATTTTTATCATGCTCTTTTGTTCAAAAACAATATACATAGTTGTAAACTTCTAAGCTAATGTACTTCATTTTCTTTTTTTTTTTTTAATTTACCTTCCCAACTACCGAAAATTGTTAACACATTGGAACTTTCATTTTAGATTTCAAATGATAAATTAGACTGAATAATTTAGAGACTCTCTTCATTCTGACAGCACTACTTATTTCTCAGTGAAATCCAGGGGGACAAAATAACAAAACATTCTCTAGTCTTCCATTACAGTGACATAGCAGCAGCTACACTTTATCATTTTCTGTGCATCTTTTGTGCATGTAAGTGATGCAGATGCTTTGCAAAGTGGATGGGCATTTTGTAGATCGGAATGTCCATGTTTTCATATAATCTTTTCCACTGAGACTGAAATAAAAGATTCAGAGACATCAGTGCTTTTACCTGAAAACCTATGGTTTGTATACAGGCAGCTGAATCTAAAAAGCAGAATTAGACAGAGGCAACATTATGACTGGTCTAAAAAAGAAAGTGGCTCTTCTTTTTCTGAGAGTACCAGTCGTGCTTGCAATTGTAAGCTTACTGGGAGACACCTAAATATCCTGAGGCCTTCTACTATTAGCTGCCTGGAAGGATGTTTTTCACTTGATTATTTTGTACTTAAACTGAATAAATAAAAAAAAGGGCCATGTAAATTTAGTTTTAGATGGACAAGTCCTTTTATTTTTTTTTTTTATTTTTTTTATTTGGAACTAGTAGTTGTTAAAAAGAATGTGTCTTAAACTTGCAAAATTATTGTGTACAACTTTCAGAATATCAACCAAGGTACACCTTATCATGGGTTCTAGGTTTGTTTTTAAAATATGTTGACTATCCCAATATTTTCAAGGTGAAAAAAAAGCTGGTGTCTCCCGTTGCCATTAACAGAGCAACTCTAAGGACTTTTCATCTGAAAGCAGGAAAATCAGAACACAGTCAACTGCCGAATCACTGAGATGTGTGCTCCTGTTTTATTGAAGAACACTTTTCAAAAATAATCTATAGAACTTGTATTAACTTTATGCAGTGACTATTCCTGGTGATTACATAGAATCATAGAATCATGAAGGTTGGAAAAGACCTCCAAGATCATTGAGCCCAGCCTTTGACCAATCACCACTCTGTTAACTAGAGCATGGCAGTGTCATGTCCAGGTGTTTCTTGAACACCTCCCGGGACGGTGACTCCACCGCCTCATTCCAATGCCTGAGCATCCTTTCAGGGAAGAAATTCTTCATTATGTCCAACCAACATAATCTAACATCACTTTTTAATAAATGAGTAAAGTGTTTGTGCACATGTATTTGTCCACATGTGCAAATTCATGTTATATCCAATAAATAAAAAATGAGATACTATTCCCATTTTTATGTCCAAACATGAGGTGATTAACACTGTGTGTAATTCCAATTGAAACAACAGTGAAATAAAGCTTTGCTTTGAAATAAGCTGTTTGCACTTCATAAAGGAAGCTGATTCTACTAGTTGCACATGAATTCTTTTGGTCTCTGTTTCTGAAGATGTCTTTTGATTTCAAGAAGAGTTAAAAGATACCTTTGTGGCAAAAGGTCATACAAAATAATTAGCTGGTTTTATTAATAATTAAACATAAAAGCAGTGCAGGTGTTTAATTACATCAGAGGTCATGAATTCTCAGTATTTAACCAATCCACGTGCTGAATAATTTTCAACAACAGAGTGATCAACTGAGAACAAACTCCAAAAACACAGGCTTCAATCAGTTGTTAAAAGTAATATGAAATACATTACTGTCAGACACGCACTCCCTGCTCTTACTGGATGCCTACAGTATCAACACCAGTTTGAGCACGAAAGAATATTTTTTCATTTGGAGAACTACGGTCTGTCAGAATTTATAAGACATCTTTATATTTTAATGTATGTCTTTATATTTTAATGTACCTGAGAGCTGGAAGTGTCTGAAAACATGTATAAAATATGCTGTCTCAACTACTGTAGTTGCAATTTTGTTTAGTTGATGTGGGGCTAGAAATAGTGTCTTGAGAAGAGCACGTGAAAATCATGAGCAGGAGCATCAATGTCTTCTCATTTGAACTTTTTTCCATGTGTTACAGGGCTATATTTAATTAAAAATAAAAAATTTTGGCATCATGATTCTTCATTACTCAGCATCATGCTCTTTTCAAAACAGATTATAATGTGTTCATGATGGCTTAATTTTGTATGTAATTCTGATGACACCAGTATGGCTCAAGCAGTCCCTTTGAGCATAATCTGCAATTCTAAACAAGTCATCTGATTTAAAATGTTGAGGGAGTTATGCAAGGAATTCTTTGTTTCTGTTCAGGAAACAAAGTATTACCATGAGGAAAAAAGGATCACACTTCAGGGCCTGATGCAATGAAAACGTCAATCTACAAAAGCAATATAAAAAGTTAGACATAAGATGAAGAGAACAGAGAAATAATAAAAACTTGTTACCATTAAGAGGCAACATACATCAGTTATGAATAGATATTTTACAGTACTTTATTTAAATGTCATCACTTACATAAAATTAGTAACATTTCCATTCCTTTCTTTACAGTATACATAAAGAAAGATAAAACCTTTCCCTCGAAGGATTTCATATATGGAAATCTATATGAAAAGATTCCCACACCACAAGGTAAGGAAAAAGGGTAAAAGCATGTTAGCAAGTAATCAGAATGATGTTTAAAAATAATATGACAATATAGCAGATAATTTTCTGCATTTACATTTCATCGTTAATCTAAGAGTAACAAAACAGTGTTGTGAGACATTTCCCTGTATAGGTCAACAGATGTCTGAGAATAAAGAAAAATTAGAGCAAAGACATATAGAAAGAGTTTTCACTTAATTTAGTACTTTTTATTGTAGTTCCACAAGGCTTTCTTCATGAAGTTTATAAAAAAGCAGAGAGATGAACAGGCAATTGCTACGAAATAGCTAACTTAGGATACAGAAAATTCAGGTTACACTTCTAAACACAGAACTTTAATCAAAGAACATCTGAACAGCTCTCCCTAACTGCCTCATCATATAGGAAATTGAGTGCATTAAAATATCCACATTATTCTGATTTAATCCTGAGACATTTTGATTGGCAGGTGTTGGGTGTCAGCTGCCTCGTGGGTTACAATGTCCATTTATTTCTATTGACTCAGCTGGGTCAGGCATAAGTTTTGATTAAATGAGTTTCATTTCTTCTAGCATACTCACTCACCTTCATACACTAAAAATGCCAGATGCCCACTTAAGGCATGGTGGTTGTGCTATTGCTTCTAGCTCCTCACCTGTCTAACCAGTTCAGAACTTGAAGGATACAGAGTAAATTCTTTTCCTGGGGGAATTTTGCAGCTTTTTTCCCCCAGGAACATTGCACCCAGCAATCCCAGTGGTGTTCTGGAAGAGGTTTGTCTCGGTTACCTTTGCCAAAAATTATCAGCTTTGGATGGAATTAAATAGACTTTAGGCTACAGGGAGCTTTAATATGGTGAAAGAGCAATTATCTGGCAGGAAGATGAGGGCTCCAGTTTTGATTCCCTGCTCCAGGCACCAGGTATTTTTCTTCAGACAGAAATTTGCCCTTTTTTCAGATAAGAAACCAAATTACCTTTATGTAAGAGGTTATATATGATATCACATAATGCGTAGATATGGTCCTTCAAGACATGGTTTAGTGTTGAAGTTGGCAGTGTTGGGTTAATGTTTGGACTCAAAGATCTTAGAGGTCTTTTCCAACCTTAATGATTCTATGATTCTATGCTGTCTCAGCCAGAGTCATTCCTTTGATGTAAGAGCTGTAATAGCAGTGTTGGTCTTGATGATAGTCCTACTTGAAGTGAGACAAAGGACTCACTAGACATCCTCCAGAAGTTCCTTCAAAGCAAACCAAAGCAAACCAAACCATACCAAACTCAGAATGTTCTGCTCTGACCTTCT